TCGGTATTGTTTCGATACTTCCAAAAGGGAATAAACCAAGGGAATTCATCAAAAACTGGAGACCAATTACATTGCTAAATACCTCCTACAAAATTCTATCAGCCGTTATAGCAAAACGTATTAAATTTGTTTTAAATTATCTCATTCATGAGGATCAAAAGGGTTTTTTAACTGGGCGATTTATTGGGGAGAATACACGACTTTTATTTGATATCTTGCAGTATACAGAAATTGAAAATATTCCCGGACTAATTGTTCTTATAGATTTCGAGAAAGCTTTTGATTCCATTTCATGGAGATTTATTGATAAAACTTTAAAATTCTTTAATTTTGGACAACAAATCAGGAAATGGGTGAACATTTTTAATACTGATTTTAAGCTCTGTGTTAAACAATTTAGTAAATCGAGTGAGTTCTTCGCCATCGGACGTGGCTGTAGACAGGGCGATCCGTTATCGCCCTATGTTTTTTTGCTATGCGTTGAAATTTTGGGTAGTTTAATAAGAAACGAGGAAGACATTAAAGGAATTAATTTAGGGAATAAAAACCAAAAAATCGTACAATATGCGGATGACACTGCTCTGACACTTGACGGTAGCGAAAAATCTCTTAGACAGGCCTTGAATCTTCTTAATGAATTCGCAAAATATTCAGGTTTAAAACCAAACTTAGAAAAAACTTGTTGTGTTTGGATAGGTTCATTAAGAGGAAGTCAAGAACGATTTTTAAATGTTAAAAAAAATTTAATCTGGGAAATATCGGAATTTACGGCCCTAGGAATAAAATACAGTACTGATATCGATAAGATAATAGACCTGAATTATAATGTTAAGTTGCAAGAAGTTTGTCACTTGATGTCAAATTGGTCTAAACGAAATTTAACTGTACTCGGTCGAATAACTGTCGTAAAGTCAATATTAGTACCAAAATTAAATCATTTACTAACAAGTCTACCTTCACCGGATATATCTTACTTAAAAAATATAGAGAAATCGTTATATAAATTTGTTTGGGGTAATAAAGCTGAAAGAGTGTCCAGAAAAACTATGGTTCAAAATTTTGAAAATGGTGGATGTAAAATGATTGATATAATAGCATACTCAAAGTCGTTAAAAATTACTTGGTTTAGAAGATTATTAAAACATCAAAACACTGCCTGGGCAAAATTGTTAGTTAATTCTTTACCAGATAAACAGTTGTTGGTTGGCTCTTTCGGGGATGATTATTTCTATAAACTATCAAAGCGTACAAAATTGTCTTTCTGGCAAGAGGTTTTTAATTATATAAGTATTGCGCTAATTAAGTTAAAACCGAAAGATAACGAAATACATAATATTCTACGTCAGCCATTGTGGTACAATTCAAATATAAAAATAAACAATAAAACAATATATTTTGATGTTTGGCATCAAAAAGGAATAAAGTATGTTTATGATCTTTTCGATAAAGGTGTTTTTATGACATACGACACGTTCAAATCTATCTATAATTTCTCTCCACACTTTACAGACCTGTATGGATTAAAACAATCACTTCTTGCTAAATGGACTACTTTAAACAACATAAATGCTAAAACAGTAGATGTCAGGTTAATATTACCCATTTACCCTCAAATTATTGAATTCATCTCTATGTTTGATACTGGGGCAAAATATTTCTACACACATTTCTTAGATAAAAAAATTCAAAAAACTAAATCCGAAAACTCATGGGAATTAGATCTAGGAATGAAATTAACTTTAGAAGAATGGGCTCGTATTTACAAGCAATCATTTGATTTCACCGTCGATACTAGGCTGAAATGGTTTCAATTTCGACTCAATAGTAGAATAATTGGTACAAATAAATTTTTAGCTAAAATTGGAATTTTTAAATCAGATTTATGTACCTTTTGCAAAAAAGAAACTGAATCATTAATACATCTTTATTACAGCTGTGAACATGTACAGGTATATTGGAAAGAATTAGGAAGCTGGATTAAACTAAAGGCAAACAATGATTTTGATATCACCTTGATAAAATGTTTATTTGGCATTGATACTGATGATAACAAAATTCCAAATTTGATATATAGTTTAGCTAAGTTACATATATATAAACAACGGCTTGGAGAAAATAAACCAATTTTGAAGGTATTTAAAAAAGAATTATCATGCTATTTTGAAAAAGAACAAATTATACTTGGTGACAAAGTTCATGATAGATGGAAACATTTTGAGGGTCTTTTCAGCTGAGCTTTTCCCTGTGTCAACCTTCCTCACTTAATTAGTATTCACTTAATTAGTATGTACGCTTTTAGACACTGGTATCCGTGTAGTTTGTTTGGGGGCGGGGTTACTGTATAGTATAGTATAGTATACTTTGTAGTGTATAATTCTTCTGACACAACAATAAATGATTTTCCGAAAAAAAAAAAAAAAAAAAAAAAAAAAAAAAAAGTTGTCCAGTGATTTCCTCTCATTGTACGTGGTTGGTGACAAAAGCATTTTATAGTTAGAACTGCTCATAACTACAGTGGCACCTCCTTTGTCGGCTTGTTTTATAATGATGCTTTTGTCTTTTGCCAAGTTGTCCAGTGATTTCCTCTCATTCTACGTGGTTGGTGACAAAAGCATCATTATAAAACAAGCCGACAAAGGAGGTGCCACTGTAGTTATGAGCAGTTCTAACTATAAAATGCTTTTGTCACCAACCACGTACAACCACGTACATTTCAAACTTCTGGAAAAATATTTATTATATCGGTTAATAAGAGGTGAAAACAAGATACAAAACAATTTCAATAATTAATAAACGAAATTCTATGTATATTATAATATATATTACTTTCTATAAATGAAAATTAACAATTGTAATCTTAATTTAAGTGATTAATGGGGTAAATTATTCCTACTCCGTTACCTAGTTACACTTTCTTTCCCTTTCCCTCTTTTCCACTTTTACATGGCGACTTGTGTTGACTTTTTGGTGTAAAATTGAAGAAAGGGGCTTGAATGTACACTTTTCTGCTAGGTTTTGCTGAATATTCATGATTGTGCATTTCAATTTTTCCAAGATGAACCTCATACGTGCTTTACAACCAGATGTTGCCACATATTGTTCCATCTTTGGTAGAAAGCGTTCAACCCAACGAAAATTTGAGAAAAAGTTCGAGCCGATCTAAGAGACGAGAATTAACATTAAAATCACTGGGGAAATGATTAGTGATATATGGCCTGATGTATTATGATATTATAGTTATCTTATCCCTTCCTGGTCTCTCTATATAAAACAGTAAAATTTCGACCAGTTGATTCATGTTTTATGATATAATACTCATGTTACTGATTGTACATGCACACAGTAACTTCCCGATAATAAAAACCATATACAACGTCCCCATTTTCAACCTTCCTCGTCAATATCTGTAAGAGGTAAAATGTCGACCATGGATAGATACATGTATTATTATATACTATTCAAAAAAAGTAGGGGATATTTGATTTTGGGGGCATAATACTAAAATATGCAAATGACTACGAAAAAAGTCACTATAGAATCTAACAGAAGAAACATTTCCAGTTACATGTGACGCCCAAACGCACCAATAGCTACCGCATGGAATGCAGGTGATGCTTGGGATCATCATGGGGGTCCAACCCAAGATTTGCACGACTCTGACTTTGAATATTACAGTCATTGTGGCATTGAATTCCAGGGTGGAAACATCAGTTTAATTGTTTTAGTGACCAGAAAACAAATTTTGATATGCGTCGGCTTACCCAAAATGAAAGGTTACGTGCCCTTGGCATGCTGCAGATCGGCACAACACAGGCGGTTGTGGCGCGGACGATGAATGTTTCTCAGTCTGTCATAAGCAGGCTATGGTCCAGATACCGTGATACACAATCTGTACAGGACAGACCACGCTCAGGTCGACCAAGGGCGACAACTCAAGCCCAGGATCGATTTATCCGTACCTTGGCCTTGAGAAATCGTGTCATCACAGCAAATCAGATCAGCGCTCGTCTTCAAACAGACACTGGTGTGAGAGTGAGTGGTCAGACGATTCGGAATCGACTGCATAGGGGTCACCTTCGCGCCCGACGTCCTCGCGTGATCCCTTGTTTGAGAGATCATCACATTCAGGCAAGACGTCGTTGGTGTAGGGATCGTCAACACTGGGATTATCGACGCTGGAGCAATGTGATGTTTTCAGATGAGTCAAGGTTCACTGTTGATTTTTGGGACAGACGTAGGAGGGTGTGGCGTCGTCGAAACGAGCGCTTCCAAGACGTTAACGTCATCAGACATGATCGATTTGGGGGTGGTTCTGTTATGGTGTGGGGAGGCATCACTGTTGCTGGAAGAACGGCTTTACATGTTGTTGCAGGGCGTGTTACAGGCCAGTACTACCGGGACAACATCTTGGCAGTCCATGTTGTGCCGTTCGCACGACGTCATGGCCGCCGTTTCATCTTCCAGGATGACAACGCAAGATGTCACAGGGCCAGGATCGTTACAGGTTACCTCCAACAACAGAACATCACCACATTACCTTGGCCAGCACTGAGTCCCGACCTCTCCCCCATCGAGCATGTCTGGGACATGCTTGGACAGAGGTTACGTCAAAATCAACAACGTCCTGCCAATGTCCAAGAACTTGCTGCTGCGTTGCAACAGGAATGGGACAATCTGGACCAAAATGACCTTAGACGTCTCATTAGGAGTATGCCACGTCGGATCAATGCTTGTTTGGCAAACAGAGGAGGATTTACCCGTTACTGACTTGGTTGTGATGCTGTGGTAACTTTGCTGTTTGACCCCGGGTATCATTTTACCCTTATAATGGTCAGTCTGTGCCTTACTTAGTCTAACGATCATTTGGAATAAATCGATGAATGTGAACTTCATTTCATTTTGTCATTTGTTTCTTCGTCAGTTTCATTAGGTGACTTTAATAACACTTAAAAATCAAATATCCCCTACTTTTTTTGAATAGTATAATATAGTTATGTTAATGGCTGTAAATATTATATATATACAAGGTAAGTTGATCTATATTTTATATTAACATTAGTAATATACTATTATAGACATCGATAAATCCCTACTGGGTGGGTAGTCGCTTATATCATATAGTACAAAACACAATTGTGCTAATACCTATATTCACCCCAACCTTTAAGATAAAATAAAGGAAACTACTTTTGTCTTGAGTTATAGTAAACAAATATGACATAGTGTCTATACCCACAGATAACAATATAATGTTAATAGATTATAAATTTATATTAAAGTAGCTATGTCTCTAACTCAATATAATGTCAATAGATTATAAATATATATTAAATATTAACCCCCAATTGAATCTCACAATTTCAATTGATACATTAGAGTTACATGTAAAAGATCCCTTGTAATTCTATATAAGAGTAGGCCGAGACACATTTCCCTCACAACATACTGTATGATGTATGCCGGTCTTTATTAGCCCAGTTGGGGCAGAGCAGTAGGTCGTTAAACCCCATTTCATTCCACTGAAAATTGTATAATTTTTATACAAGAATATAATCTGTGTGACCTGTATCGGGATAAATAAATACCCTAAAAACAAGGACACAAACTGATCATTTAGAATCGGTTTTATCTTAATGAGATATCCTATAAAAACAAGCACAACGAATATATGGTGTCCTTACCATATGATTTACATGAGGTAGACAGAGGAAGTCCTGGTATGTTGGGTTTTAATAATACTCATTTAAAACTGATACAGACATTATTAAAACATTAATTAATGATAAATTGAACTGTTGTCTATACAAAGACAACCCCCTCAATCTGATGAGACAGCCTTAAATATTCTACTAAAAATAGGTCAATTTTATATAAACACTAAATTAACAACAGTGTATGGACAACAGCCAAAACGTATATTGGTTATCAAACTGTAATTCAAGAATTAGAAAGTAAAATATCAGACTTCGAAAAGACAGGAGAATAATGTTCTATACAGATAACACCTTCATTAATGATTCTAGTAAATCCTGGTTTCGAATCCCCGGTTGTACGTGACAAGGAGTAGGGTCGCCTGTCCAACCTCGTGGGTTTTCTCCGGGTCCTCCGGTTTACCCCCATTGCTAAAGACCCCTACGCGCAAGCGAATTATTGAAAACAACCTGAGCCATATGTTAGTCCCGAAATGACCTAGTTTGTGTCGAGTGGACGTTAAACCCCATTTCTCTCTCTCTCTCTCTCTCTCCCTCTCTAGTAAATCCCTATTTACAACTATTTATGATAAAGATAATAATTTAATTAATGGTTCTAGTAATGGTATATATGCATGTATTTATGATAGAGATAGTATAATTCTATTTTAGTAATGCCCTATTTACATGTATTTATGATACAGATAGTATATTGATGATTCTAGTAATGTTCTATTTACATGTATTTATGATAGAGATAGTATATTGATGGTTCTAATAATGTTCTGTTGTACATGCGCTGGTTATTTTACTGAAGCAGATGACATACACGAACAGACGACGCTGTGTGACACGCTGACTTCTACTGAGCGAACTCGATAGCAGGTCATGTGATCGAGCTGCTACACTCCATGATATGTATAGACAGCGCAATAAGGGAAATTCAGAGGGGTGTTGGAAGATGTAACACAATTTTTTAATTACTGTAGCAACAGTACTGGACATTCGGGAATCAGCACCTCTTCGCCATTTTTAATTAAATCATTAAATCAGTAAATGACGATCGTATTTTAATACGTTTCACTCTCTGCCATCCGATGTTCTAGAAACTTGATTTTAGGTTTTTATTTTAAAGATGCAATATGTAAGAGCTATTGAATGTTTTAATTCTGGCTTTAAGTTAAACATTGATTCATACGAAAGCCAATAATCATCCTCGGTATCCCCAGTGGTTTCATTCCGTTCTACTCCACTAAACCCTGGTTTAATCTATGGAGGAGACACGTTTTCAAATTATCCACCCTGGATGATTGTGCTATTTTTATGGACGAATCCCTATGCATCGTTAAAACATAGATATGACGTCACCCTTTGATGTTTTTAACCAGTATATAGGAGAATGTACGCTTTTCTTAAACAATCGTCTATTATTTATAAAATAATGGACAGGTTTACCAATAATAGACACTTATCTGAAAAATGGACATGTATTTTGGGATAAAATTATTCTCTTAACGAATTAAATTACAGTACATGAAATTACTTTAAAACCTCATAGTTACCAAAATATCACATGACCGAATGTTGATTTCACGTGTTTGTCTACATAAAGAATTCCACTTAAATCCGTCCGTTATATGTCACTTATACGTTTAATAGTAGATCGATGATACGTTTTTATACGCCCACATTTCCAAACATTCTTTGTAGACACTCTACAGATCATAACTTGAAATATAGGTATATATCCCGAAGATCTCGGTTCCTATCGATATTGGCTTGTATGGGACGTAAATTGTACACACTAGAGGTCGCATTTTGATGAAACTGAACATGTGTGTTTATAACACAAAGATCTCGATTGCTTGCGATATTGGCACATATCGGACCGTAACTTCCTGGATTATTACCCCTGATTGAACAAAAAAAACGAGCATGTGGAACCTATACAGGTCACAATTTTTATCCGATTTTAAAAATCGTTCAAATATATCACCGTTACACCATAATGACAGTTGAGTTCTAATTTCCTGAATTGGTTTGTGCCTTTGATCCCGTGTCCTATCACTTATATCAGAGTATATATTAAATTTCAAATCAAAAGTTGGACGGCTAGTACCCTCCATACCCTCCACAGTACTAAGAAAATTATTAATATCTAAATCATTTTCGTGAGCAGCCTTTCCATCACACTTTGACAGCTATTACTCCCCATATCAAGAACATCACAATTTTACGGCTATTATCTTCCATATTGAATACATTACCAAATGTAATCCGTATCCAAATGCTTATCACGTATATTCTCATTATTAATATTTGTTTTTGACAAACATGTTATAAACATGTCGTCTCCATGTCGAATATTTTGGACTGTCTGTGTATGCTTGCTTTGTATGACTGGAGTGTTTTGTCACATGCATTCATGAGCATGTGCATGTTGTTTTAAGAACATATCCATTATTTTGTGACTTGTTCTTTTAGAAAACTATCCATTATTTGTATCTCTATGGTGCTATGTTTTAAGTTTGATAATAGCCTCAGCCTTCTCTCACCCCCTTCTCACACCCCCTTCCCATACCCCCTTCTCTCACCCCCTTCTCACACATCCTTCGTACGCCTCCTTCTCACACCACCTACTCTCACTCCTCCTTCTCACGGCCCCTTCTAAAACACCCTTCTCACACCCCTTCTACGGAGTAAAATTTTAAAAAATCCAGCCTCAGCAGCTATTGTCGTTGCCATATTTAATCAAGTGATTCACGTGAAGGGTGATACAGTCGACTGGTGAATCGAGCGGGGAATTCGCCAAGTGTGTCCACTCCCGCTTTAGATAGTATCGTAATCTTATATAGAGAGAGACGACCTAACATAACAGACAATACTTTTTGTATCTCAGATTACTTTACGATGTAAGATAGAGAATTTTGTCAAGTCGGCGCTGTTTCTACATATCTTTTTCATATTCCACAGACCCACAACGGCTAACATTGACACAGTCGGACGTTAAGCCCCATTTCATTTCAATCAACATTGACACTGATTGAGACTCAATTCATGTAGGGTATGGCATTCAGGATATTCCTATTGATAAAGTTACCCAGGATTTTCCGGTGTGGTTTCCCCCTGTCGGTGATTCAGGACAGTTAGCCTGGTAAGGGACAGCGTCTAGTCATTCGGGTGGGATGAAAAACTGATTCCCGTGTATACTTTAGGACTTGGAAACATTTGCTGAAGCGTCGCTATCCGGATAACATTTCTCTCATAGCACACTGCTTGACCATCTTCATACAGAAAATAGGACGACAAACCCTATTCCATATAACCTTTACTTTCACCATCACCCGACATGTAGATATATCAATATGTAGTAGTATCCTGGTGTTTAACGTCTATATATCAATCTATTGGTCTATATATATATATATATATATATATATATATATATATATATATATATATATAGCTGTAGTGAGTTGTTGTTCTAATGTACAGTATCATATATCATAGTATAAAATATAAAAATAACACCGATTTGCTTCTACATGTTTCAATATATTTTCATCAGGAAGCCATTGATACTAATAACGTTGCAAGGTTACCCTCGTGACGTCACAATAGAGGTACATTACATTGCATGAATGAATGAATAAATGAATGAATAGTGATGAATGAATAAACAAATATAATATGTACATAACACACTATTCAGTTAGCTACTTATCAATAGGAGATCAATTAAGCTAATTTATTTGTTTAGCAGAGGTCTAAATTTTTTAATGAAATATTCCTCTTTAACTGTTCTCTGTTTTGTGCAATCATTTAGAAGCTGGTAAAACGGGAATATTTGGAATTTTGTATTAAAGTTGTGTGCACATATGTCCAGATGTTCGCTCAGGGATATCATGCGATATTCTGGATTTTTTATCTGTGATTTGTGTACAACAACTCGCGATCTCAAATATTCAGTTTGACCGATATACTGCTCCGTACAACCCGGGCAAGTTATGGCATAGATCACATTTCGTGATGCACATGTTAAATTAGCATTCACGTTAAATGTCCCGTGACCTTTGAAGGTGATTGATGGCCCTTCCATAAGGTTTTCGCAGGTACCACAGTTTCCACGCTGGCATTTTTTCACCTCATATTTTGTTGGGTGTGATGATTCAGACGTGAATTTAGCCTTCGTAAGGATGTTTTTCAAACTATTGCTTTGACGTTTGCTGTTGATGATTTCTATTGACTTAAGAACTTCTTTCATCCGTTCATCATTTTCTAGCACTGGTAAATTATGTCTAATTTTATTCATAATATCCGGGTTTTTAGGGTTGAAG